AGATTTTCTTAGGACAGTTTTCTTAACATATTTTTTAAGGAAACTTTCCATTTTATCCCAGTTTGACATTTATTAACAAAAATATTTTTTATACCTAAAAATAAATCCAAAACTTACTATATGCATTTATATCCCTTAATCTTAATATTATATAGTTTTATTATTTATGTCATTTTGTTCCTTTTTAAATCTGTTAGTTTTTAAAATTTTTTCTTATTGAGGTGAAGTTCATAGAATATAAAATTAATCATTTTAAAGTGTACAATTCAGTGCCATTTAGTACATTCAGAATGCTGTGCAATCACCACCTCTATCTAGTTCTGAAATAGTGTTTAGTGTGACGGGAGTCACACTAAAATGAAATCCTATACCCATTCAGCAGTGACTTCTTATTCTCCCCTCCCAAGCCTCTCCACCATCTATCTGTCAACATGTTTTCTAGCAACTGCGCTATTTTACATTCCCACCAGGAATGTATGAGGATTCCAATTTCTCTACACATTTGCTGACACTTACCATTTTCTGTTTGTGAAAAACATTTGTGGTCATCCCAGTGGGTGTGAAGTGTCATCTCACTGTGGTTTTGGTTTGCATTTTCATAATGATTAATGATGTTGAGGTATTTTTCATTAATTGTTAAGTTGGAATTGTTCTTTGTATATTCTGCATATTTGACCCTTTTAGAGAAATGATTTTCATATATTTTCTTCCATTCTATAAGTTTTCTTTCCACTTCTTTGATAATGTCCTTGATACTCAAAAGTTCTTAATTTTGAAGCAGTCCAATTTCTCTATTTTTTGTTGTTGCTTATGCTTCCAGGGTCATATCTAAGAAAGCATTGCTAAATTCAAGATGATGAAGATTTACCCCTGTTTTCTTCTCATAATTTTATAGTTTTAGCTCTTACATTTAAATCATTGATCCATTTTGAGTTAATTTTTTATATGATGTAAGTTAAGGGTCCAATTTCATTCTTATAATTAGGGATATCCATAATATCCAGTAGTTTCAGTACTATTTGTTAAAGAAACTGTTTTTACCTCATTGAATTGGCACCATTGTTGAAAATCAATTGGCCATAGATGTATGGGTGTATTCCTAAACTCTCAATTCTAGTCCATTGATCTATCTATATGTACATCCTTATGACAGTACAACACTGTTTTGTTTACTGTTCCTTTGTTGTAAGTTTTGAAATCTGAAAGTGTGGATCCTTCAACTTTGTTCTCCTATTTCAAGATTGTTTTTGGCTAAAGGGATCCCCTTACAATTCCATATGAATTTGAGGATTCGCTTTTTGATTTCTGCAAAAAAAAAAAAGGCTATTAGATTTTTGATAGTGATACATTGAATCTATAGTTAGCTTTGAGTAGTATTGCTATTTTAATAACATTAAATCTTCTAATCCATGAACATGGGATGTCTTTTCATTTATTTAGGCCTTCTTTAATTTTTTTTAGTGATGATTTTGTTTTTGTTTTCTGTATACAAGTCTTTCACCTCCTTGGTTAAACTTATTCCTAGATATTTTATTCTTTTGGATGATATTATAATAGAATTGTTTTCTTAATTTCCTTTTTAGATTGTTTATTTTTGGTGTATAAAAGAAACACAACTTACCTTCATGTATTAATTTTGTGTACTGCAACCCTGCTGAATTTATTAGTTTTAATATAACTTATTTACATTTTAGTAGAATTCACCAGTGAAACCATTGGGCCTAGGGCCTTCTTGTTTAAAAAGTTACAAAATATTGATTCAGTTTATTTATTTATCTGTTTCTCCTTGTGTAAGTTTTGGTAGATTATGTCTTTCAAGGAATTTGTCTATTTCATCTAAGTTATCAAAGTTGTAATATTCCTTTGTTATCCTTTTAATGTTTATAGGATCAGTAATTATGACCCCTCTTCCATTTCTGATGTTAGTAATTTGTTTCTTCTCTCTTTTTTCTTGTTTAGCATGACTAGAAGTTTAACAATTTTATTGGTTTTAGAACCAACTTTTGATTTCATTGATTTTCTCTATTGCTTTCATTGATTTTTGTTCTAATTTTTATTACTTCTTTTTTCCTGCTTATTTTATATTTAATTTACTCTTTTTTTCCTCAAGTTTTCTAGGATAGAAGCTCAGAGTGTTGATTTTAGATCTTTCTTCTTTTCATATATATGTATTCAATGCTATAAATTTTCTTCTCAGCAGGGCTTTTGCTGTACCCCACAAGTTTTGAGAAGTTGTATTTTATTTTTATATAATTAGAAATATTTTTAAATTTTTCTTGAGACTTTTTATTTGACTCAGGTATTATTTAGAAGTGTGTTGTTTAACGTACTCATGTTTTAGAATTTTCCAACTTTCTGTTATTGATTTCTACCTCAATTCCATTAGGTATGAAAGCATACTTTGGCTTCTATTCTTTTAAATTTATTCAGATATGTTTTATGGCCCAGGATGTGATCTGTCTTTGTGAATAACAGTCTCATGCATCATCTTGGTGAATGTTCCATGTAAGCTTGAGAAGATTGTGTATTCAGCTGTTGTTGGGCATAGTAGTCTGTACATGTTAATTATATCCAGTTGATTGATAGGGTTATTCAATTAAACTGTATCCTTAATAATTTTCTGTCTGCTAGATATGTCAATTACTGATAGAAATATTGAAGACTCCAACAATAATAATAGAATTGTCTATTTGTCCTTACAATTCTATCAGTTTTTGCCTGACATATTTTGACACTCTGTTGTTAGGCACATATACATTAAACACTATTATATCTTCTTGGAGATTGACCCCTTTATCATTATGGAATGCCCATCTTAATCTTTCATAATATTCCTTGCTCTGAAATCTGCTGTTCTGAAATTAGTATAGCTACTCTAGTTTTCTTTAGATTAATACTAACATGGTATATCTTTCTCCATCCGTTTACTTTTAATCTCTCTATACCTGTATACTGAAAGTGGGTTTCTTGTAGACAACATACAGTCTCATTTTTGGTTCCACTCTGATAGTTTCTGCTGAACCCAGCAGGTGGGTAAGGGCAAGCAAAAATGACTCAAAATTTTCTTACCATTTTTAAGTTGCCTTTTTGGTGTCAGTGTTCACTTGGTTGCTGTAAACCTTTTTCTTTTTAAGCTTTTATTTATTTATTTTAGAGAGGGGTGGGAGGGAGAGAGGGAGAGAGAAACTCCCAGCAGACTCCACACTGAGCGCAGAACCCAATGTGGGGCTCAGTCTCACGATCCTAAAATCAGACCTGAGCTGAAACCAAGAGTTGGATGCTTAACTGACTGTGCCATCCAGGCACCCCAGTTGCTATAAACCTTTGACTACTTTCCAGAGTTCTGATAATGTTGATTAAGACAGTTTTTGCTTGCTTTTTCAATGTTTTCGTAGAGGGATAAAACATTGGAGCCATCTACTCTGCTATTTTTATGTACATCTGTCAGATATTTTTATATTTCATTTGGCTTTTCAATGAACCAACTTCTTTTTAATTAATTCTTATATTTTTCTCTAATTTATTAATTTATAGTTTTGTACTTAATGTCTCTTAATTCTTATTTTATTTTATCCTTTTTCTAATTTAGACTTGAATGTTTAATTAATTAAGTTTTTTTCTTTAAAAACAAAGTTGTTCAATGCTATGAATTTTACATGAGCCTAAAGTTAGCTAGGTATCTTAGGTTATTAAACATAATAGCCTCATTATTTATTTTTCTCAAAACAGCCTGTAATAGTAGTTTTTATTCTCCATTTGATCTAAGAATTATTCTTTAAAGTGTTATCTTAAAATTTCTAAGAGATTTGTTTTATTACCTGGGCTTCTTGTTATTTCTACCTATTGCATTGTGACTAGATATATCTACTTTAAATATTTTGATGCCATAAGTATAAAGATTCACGAGTACCTTATATCTACTGTAGATTGAACCATTTATCAAAATAAAATGCCATTTTAAATCCCAATTTTTTTTGTTTACATTTCTATTTTGCCTGCCATTAATGTCGTTAGTCCTTCTTTTATTTTTTTGTCTTTGCCTGGTATATTGCATCTTTTTATTTTCTAAAGTTATGTCTTTAGGGATGTCTCTAGCAAACATAAATTAGTTGACTTTTTTTAAAGCTTAACCTGGTAATATTTGTCTTTTAATTGAGAAAGCTAATGCATCCACTTTTTTGGTGTTAACTGGTATTTAACCATATTCCTATCATTCTGTTTTATTTTTTTGTTCGTATCCTGATAAATATGCTCTTTATGTGTTTTGTTTTCTTTGTTTTATTTTGCATTATCCCATTTTAGTCCCCTTTTCTGCTGAAATTTTAGAATTTACTCATATTATTTTTAGTCTATTGTATTTGTAAAGCCTTTCCCATTTTTTGGTGCCAACTTTAAGAATGAAACAGAATCTGTGAGCTCCTCCTCCTATCCCTAAATGAAACAATTATGTAAACACATGGTCCCCTTTATCTTCCATATTTTGTTCAAAAAATCTGTATTACCAATTATAGATATTCTAATTTTTATATTTTGAATATTCTCTTTTAAGAACTTGTTTGTGGCATTTATATTAAGTTTCACAAGCATATTAACAATAATAATTATTTAGAATAAAGTGAGTTTTACTAGGTTCATTTCTCATAATTTTTTTTTCTTTATCACTCTCTTCCGGATGTGTTCCAATTAATTTTCCTTTTTTTTTGAAATGTGAGGTCAACATAATATTCTGGACCTCTGGGAATGTCATGTGTACCTTTGATTAATCCCTACAGTGTTTGAACAATGTTTAAAAGTGAATGCCTTTAGCCCAGCCATGCTTTCTAGCTTATCCCAATTTCCATTGCTCCCTTCTGTCTACTTGATCTATCTGCCTGCATTGTAGTTTTTGTTTATAAATTCTTTCTAAACCTTAGGCCACATGCAATTTAAAATATCCAAATGTTTAAAATATGATTCTAGGTTCTTACACTGAATGACACTCTTTTCTTTCCTGCACTTAGGCTTTGGAAGATCAGGTATGGGAACTCTTGCAGGAAGCAGACAAGACAGCTGAAGAGAACAAGGATCAGAGTCAGGTCTATGATGCCATGGCCAACACCTTGGGTGAAGCATGGGCAGCCCTTGTCTCCATGCTTGAAAGAAGAAGGGAGCTCCTGAGGTTGAGCTCTGAATTTTTTGAAAATGCCTTGGAGGTTTGTGTTTAAAAAAACTACTTTCACATCAGAGCAAATAGATAGCACTCCTGAAAATGTTTTATTTCTACAAATAGACATTACAATCAGTTTTTAAAATGGCAGAATGACCAAGTTATATACATTTAATTTTTGATTGCCAAAACATAAAATTGTTAATATTTTAAATATAGCTCTTCAAAAAAAAAACCCTAAGGGGCACCTAGGTGGCTCAGTCGGTTAAGGGTCTGCCTTAGGCTCAGGTCCTGATCATGGGATCCTGGGATAGAATCCAGCGTTGTCGGGCTCCCTGCTCAGTGGAGAGTCTTCTCCCTCTGCCCCTCCCCCCCTGCTTGTGCTTTCTCTCTCTCAAATAAATAAAATAATTTTAAAAACCCCTAAGTACAGCTAATTAAAATTAAGTAAAATATTAAGTAAAAATAGAAACTCTTATCCATAAGTCACTATGACTTATTACTTTATTTAGAAAATGGTAATACAGTTACTAAATCAAACAATTATCCCTAATTTCATGATTATTAGGAAATGTTGGTCTAAAGTGTTCTTGTTGACTTAAAGATGGAGGATAGAATTTCTTCTGCTATTTATGAAAAGGCAATTGAGGAATATTCCATAGAATAATTGACTTGTAAGCATAGATTTTATAGAGTACTTTCCAAAGGCATATAGTTGGATTCATAGTTTGAACTCATTAAAAATTTAACGAAAGAAAAGTCCTGGACCTGGACCTAAATGACCTAAGGTCATTTCCTCCTGTGACTTTTCTTGAATTCTGAGATGTTTTCACAGTTCCCAATTTCAAAATGTGCAACTCAAAGAACATTATCAAAAGAGCTGTTGTGTTGGTGTAAGACAGTTATTGGAAATTTCACTTTTGACTTCTCTGTCAAGTGGCAGTACATTCATCTTGATGGGAGAGCACTGCTTCATTATGATAAAGCACTAGCTTTGAAAAATATGACATTTCCAAACTCAAAATTCGGTCTTAAATCCAAAATAATAAAGGAAGGAAGATTAGTAATAGAACATAAAAATTGGGGTAGACAATCTCATGCATCATGAACACGTTTAAAAGTAAAAGAAGGAGCCAAAACCTTATTGTAACTTTTAAGTTTTGTTTTCCATGGTTTGCATACAGAAGCCCAACTACAGTTCATTTTACAGATCATCTTGGGAAAAATTTCCCATATAGTTTTCTTCCCTGAACAGAAATCAGGTGAAATGCACCTACAGGGTCAAATTGTAGATACATCTGATTCATTCCATCTCAGTAAGTAGGGTATAGATGTCAACTGCCCTTGAAATTCATTTGAGCAGAGGAAATTATCTTTCTTCAGACATTAGGCCCAATATTTGTTTCTCATGGGGTAGTAGCATTAATGCTAGCCCATTTTCTCTCTGATAAGAAATTATTTCCAGATATTGCATGAAGTAAAAGGAAATACTAAGCCAACTCATAATTCAGCCCACCACCCTGATTTTTGGAGAAAAGATATGGTTTCTTGTATTATCCTGCTTCCAGTTTTGTGGGTCACTTAGTACTAAGCTGAAGGCAAACTCCTTTCCTGCCCCTTGTGTTGCCAAACTATTTTCATCACTGATTAATAATAATAATAATAATAATAATGAGAATAGGGTCTTTGCAAAGTGTTCCACTCTTGCTACTTCTATCCTGTGCAAGATGCAAAAAGAAAAATGGGTGATAGAAAATATCCATAAGGTAAAAGTTAACAGAACTTTAGGGAAAACTTTTCTGAGTAGCACATTGTTTGCTTATTTATTTATTTTAATTTCAAATAACAGTTGAAATATGTTATAAGTTATACAGTGACTCCAAAACTTTTTGTAATGTTCTACAGAGAAAAATCAAATCACCTTCTAGGGTTGGTTTTGTTTGTTTGCTTGTTTGTTTTGAAACTTCTCTTTGAAGAATACCCTTAAAATAAGCTATCAGAAATGGAATGAATTAAAGTTGTAAATGATGTGTGGATAGGATTCCCTTATTGAACTATGATGCATGCAGTTCCATAAAAATATGAAATGACTTCTTATTGCATGGTTGATAATTATTATGGGACTGTTTCTGACTCACTGACTTAACCATCAGACAGGTTATTCTCTTGTTAGACGCTATGCTGCACATTAGGGACGCTGTCCCTAAGCGACAATGGCTGGTATCCCCCAGATTGTTCTAACACGATAGTGGAGGCCTTCTCCATATTTCCAAAGAGAACATGCTCATTAGTCTCTCTCTCATCATTCCATGCCATTTATAACTGGATTTTATGTGGCTATGGTAATAATAAAAATATAGTACTTATATTTTATATATATAGAAAGGAAGGAGAATAAAGTTCTTTTGCACTTTGTAAATTGACTATATGTAAACACACAACCTCATACAAACACCCTCAGCCCACACACACACACACACACACACACAAACACACACATCATCATATAAACACACAAACACATATACGGTCAGCTAGGTCATGGATTCATGAAAAACATCTACAAATCACCCAAAGTGGCACATTGATTTTTTTTTCAAATGTCTTTCCCTTGTATTTGTGTTGTAGTTTGCTATTAAAATAGACCAAGCTGAAGATTTCCTCCAGAACACCCAGGAGTTTGAGAGTGCTGAGTCCTTAAAATCACTTCTTCAGCTTCACGAACATCATACCAAAGGCAAGAAATATGTTTATTCCTCACATAAGTTCTTAGAGGTTTTATAATATGTTCATGTGAGAATGCTCATGTGTGACAATGTATTTTAAATTTATCTGTTTATACCTCAAATTGTTCCAAGAAAGTTTAAATAAAGCTTTATTTTTGGTCATCTGCTTCAAAAAAGACATAGTTGTAAACTATTCTAAGGGGATGTTAAAGGAACAGCCTCCAGAGAGTCAGTTATTCAATCTGCTAGGTTTTAGCTCCTGAGGTCAGAGGCCGTTCTCACCTTGTTCTTCCTTGTATCCTCAGTATCTAGTGCAGTGTCGGCACATGGTGGATCCTCAGGAAATATTTCTTGAATAAATTGTTGAATTCAGTAAATATTCCTTCTCAGGGTCAGGAAATGAAGATCAGCCTTTAAATAACAGCTCCGGATAAGGAAAATTGTCCTTCACTATTATAGTTATTAAAAAAGGGGGGGATAGTGGACTTTTTCCTCAGGAAGCCTGCAGTTTGGTTGGGGCATATACACATTTATTGACGGGTTACCTGTGGGTCCCTGTTACACTGCCCAGCTTACTCTGTAGTAACAATTCATTTCCATATTTGTCTCTATCACCAGATTGTGAGACTCTGGAGGGCAGGGGTTAGTACAATCTGAATCTCCACAATGTAGAATAGCATCGAACCCAAAGTATGTTTATTGAGTGTTATTTGTATTTAATTCCAATGTAAGACACAATACAATGATATAAACTGGAGCAATAAACAAGGCACTACAGGGACATTAAGGAGGAAAAAATGGATTCTAAGCCCTGAAGGATCACAACTGAACCCTCCAGTTTTCCAAAGTCTTCTTAAAATGAACATAATACCTAAGAAGCTTCTGCTCAGGAACAATCATATTATCACTTCCTTGTTCTTAAATGTTCTTAAATATGTATTTTAAATGTGGCTGAGATATAGGTTCACTGGAGTCCATTATACTATTTTCTCTACTTTTGTGTATATTTGAAAGTATATTTGAATGAGTTTAGGAAACCATCCCATTGAAGAACATTTGGAATATTTAAAAAAATTTTAGGAAGAAATATCACCCATGATCTCAATGCCAAGACTATGACTTTGATACTTTTTAGAAATTACTCTTTTGGAAAGATTGCTTAGCAAGTTATAAATTCACTTAAGTTATGTACATCCCTCATTTATCCATCTTGAATTTGTAATTTATACTTAAGTATGGCAAACTGTATAGGTATTAGTATAAAATCTACTTTAATATAAACTTTCTTAGATATAATGACAATCAAAACAAATAATAAAGATTTATTAAATATTTACTTGCCTCACATCACAAGGCATTATGTCAGAAAGTAGGGTTTTATGTATGCAAAAATATGATCTTTAAAATAAACATACCATAGAGATTTTGTATTTCTTGAAGTTCATGATATTCTATCTAGATAGTTTAACCTTGAGGAAAAATACATCACTTTGTATGATCAACTGATGGAATAAATTACTAGGAAATCACAAACAATAAAAAAGTTAAGATATAAGAAATCAACAGAGGAAGAACCAAAGACTGACAGAGGAAACTGAGGGAAATACTTGTCCACTTTAATGACTATCATGGTAGCAGTAGTAGACTGATTTTAGCCTGGGTATAGTTTACAAGTAGCTTTGTCCAGAGACTCCATTCCTAGTGGTACTATGGTAGTAGTTATATTATTTTGGCAGATGTGAAACAGAGAACCAGAAAAAGATTGCAAATGGAAATTTTGGCTAATTGTATATATTCTGTAGGAACCAGAACAGTTTGGCCTGTTCTACTGTCAGTCTGCAATGCCCTAGCCCTTAGAGCTATGCTTCCCTCTCTCATTTGAAAAGTCTAGTGTGTAAGAACTAGTTATGGAAAGGAAGAAAAGGAATACTATGTGGAAACCCTGCCACTTGCCCACATTTCCTCTGTGTGTGTGTGTAACTTTTCACAATATCATAACAAACTCTTCAATGCAGAGGAATTATGTATACATATATAGAGAGAATCAGTATACTGATTAGCATAAGATGAACAAATTAAAACTCTTTAGTTTGCTACACAAGGCCCTCTATAACCTGTCTTCACCTTGTTTTCAAGTTCTTTCTTTCCCTTCTACATAAGAACTTGCTCTAGATAGGTAGGGTTTTTTTTTTTTTTTCTGGCCCTGCCTCTCCCATCTTGTTAATGTTTGCTTCCATTTCTTTGAGAGATTTATTCTAATGTTATCCCTGCCTTTTCTTACTCTGTTTGAATGATCTCATCCTCTTTTTGGTTCAAGTTGTTTTTTGTTGTTCATTGCTTTGCATCGTTAACTCCCAATAAAATTGCCCAGTGCACATAATCTTCCTCATTCTAAACAGGTAACACCATCTAATACTTCACTGGACCGATGTAAGTCATATGACACAAACTACTTCAAATTCTTTCCTTTTCATGTCAAACTCTCTCTTCACGATATCTTCACTTATCTCATTCTCTCTTCCAGCTCTCCAAACAAAAGTGTCAAGTTAAAAGAGATAACTGGCCCAACTACCACAGCCTCATTATCGCTGTGCAGTTAACTGCCGAATGTTAGAAAACTGTTCAGAGTGCCATGGGAGAGTGGAAAGAACACTGAGCTTCTAATCAGAACACGTGGCTTTTAGGACTGCTTAGTCCAGTTCTAGTTGTGTGATGCTAGGTAAGGTACTTAGTCTCTGGATGTTCTTCATAGTTCTCCCTGTCCTAAAAATAAAAAAACAGTATATTCAGCCCTGCTGATAGTCCCTTTTTTTTTCTCCCCTCTAACAGCAAATGTCTCAAAGATTGCCCTGCCTTGTTGACTTCACTTCATAACTGTCCCCACTTCTCAACCTGGTAACTTGGCTTCTGTTTCCATCACTTTCCTGTCACAAAATCTCATGCCTTCTCAAAATCTTGTTTACATCTCTAGAGAACCACTGATCTCTAGCACTTATAGCTCTCTTAATTCTTCCCTCTCTCTTAATATATTTGATCTCATTCAAGCATTCTGCAGAAATTATTGAACATTTCTCCCATGCCAATCACTATGCTAAGTGCTGGAGATATTGTCATGGTCACTGTCTTCATTTTGACTTGGAGCCTGATGGCAAAGGGAGACCTTAATCAACTAACCCAACACATAAGTAAAAATCTATAGTTGTGATAAGAGCTGTTAATGAGAACAATTAATTGTATTTGAATTGGGATAGGATTTGATTCAGTCTGATTTATGCCTTGAGGAATTGGCAGTTGAGTAAGACCTAAAGTATGAGTAGAATAAAGGTGGAGAAGGAAGGGATTAAGAATGGTGTCCCTGGGGCGCCTGGGTGGCTCAGTCGTTAAGCGTCTGCCTTCGGCTCAGGTCATGATCCCAGGGTCCTGGGATGGAGCCCCACATCGGGCTCCCTGCTCTGCAGGAATCCTGCTACTCTCTCTCCCACTCCCCTGCTTGCGTTCCTTCTCTCTCTGTCTCTCTCTCTGTCAAATAAATAAATAAAATCTTTAAAAAAAAAAAAAAGATGTCCCTAGCAGAGGACACAGTTAAAAGTTCTGGGGCAGAAGGGAATGTCAGAATGTCAGATTTGTGATATAGTTAAAAAGAGAAGGATGAAGAGTAGAGAGATTGAGATAATCTGAAAGGGAAGATAGGAACCAGACCATGCCAGACCTAAAATCATGTCAAGGGGTCTGTCCTTAATTCTAAGGCAATTGGAAGCCATCGTGTGTGTGTGCGCACATGCACATGCATGTGTGCATGTATGTGATGTAGTGTATTTAGAAAAGACCTGTCTGGCTACATACAGAGAATAGATGAATGGATTGGAGAAGGATGCAAGAGGTGGCTGCGCAAGTCCAGGTGCAAATAATGTTTTCTGTAGTAGGGAAGGAGAGGAGTAAACACACGCAGGAGATAGAGGGTGGAATTGATAGATATTGGTAATGAGGGAGAGGAATGTGTCATGGATGACTCCTGGGTCATAGCCTTTAAACTTCAGAATTAGTCCATTCACTTCAGAACGTAGAACACATCAAGGCTGGCAGGCACCTTAACCAGCATCACATCACTAAAAACCAACTGACACAGTGCCCAAGTCCCATGATCTTTCCCCTCCCTTACTGAATTACACTGTCACCAACTGCAGCAACCTATCATTTGGCAGTTAATGCTACAGAAATTGTTAGGTCATGTTATCTGACCAGATGTATCACAGACATTTTCTATTTACACATTTGGATTCCTTACAGTACAATTTATTGTTAACATAAAAGTTATATATGTTTTAAATTATACCAAGAGTTTGAATATTACTATAGAAAAGCTTGCTCATGTCACTACTCTTTTTTCTTTCTAATTTTCTTCTAGAACTCTTAGAACGATCTCTAACCCTTTTAAACAAAAGTCAACAGCTCACTGACTTCATAGAAAAATTTAAGTGTGATGGACCTAATGTGAATCCTGAGTTGATTCAGGGAGCTCATAACAGCTGTCTGAAGATTGACAGTCTTCTTGAACTTCTACAAGATAGGAGACGGCAACTTGACAAGGACCTGAAGCAACAGCAGCAAGAATTGGGTCAGGTTCTGCAGATATGTCAGTGGGACCAGCAAGAAAATCAGGTAACCCAAAGGGGAGTTGATGATGTCCTGACCTCAGCTAATGAAGTTGGATTATTGTGTGGATTAGCTGTTTCCTGGGATGGTTCCTCAGTTGTTATGGTCAAATTCTTTGGTCTTTGGTCCAAACTAACATACTGTTTTCCACATAAGTTGAATGAAAAACAAAGATTTTTATCTCCTCTCATCATAATATTGCTTTTATAAACGGGAGAGTACCTGTGGGTAGTTTTGAAAATGACTGTGTTCTGTTGTTGGATTCTCTTTCTGGCCTCCTTCCAGGTTAACTTTTAGACACAGTTCCTTGAAATTCTGAAATATAAATTGTAGCTTTCTTGAAAGTTGGGGAGGCATGATGGTGCTGAACTGTGTAGTATGTTGCTACTAATGCCAGTGAAAAAGTCTGTCAGCCCCAAGGAGTGTTCCTAGAAGAATGGCCTGGGGCCAAGGAAGAAATATGACCTTGGCCTGTGGCTGGATACTCAGTAGTTAGAGGGCTTTGGGTCAAGAGGTTCATGTTTGCAGGCTTTTTAGAACTCATTACCCTAGCTGCAGGCACAGCTTTGGTCAGTTGTCAATATGCTTGCTGTGCACTTCTTTTGTCCCAATTACGTAAGGGTAAGCATGGATAGAACTCTTTGCAAAACTCCAAATCAAGTAGGTGGGATATTTATTGCAATATTTCTAACTGTCCCAGTCCCTGGTGAGATTGTACAGAGTAAGTAGAGGGAATTTTCAGGGGGAAATATGTGGAAGAGGCCTCCTGGCCTGGATGCATGGGGAAGGAGTCTCTTCACATGTTTTCTGTTGCTGCTCTGATCCAGATTGGAGACAGACCTGTAGCTGGGAGCATATATGAGGCCAGGAGAAACTGATTCTTATTTCAGTCTGGAAAAATGAAGACTTCAATGATGATCAGCCCTTTAACTAATGCTTATTGAGTACCTACCATGTGCCAGGTGCTATTATAAGTACTGGGAAAAACAACACACAAGACAAAGTCCTTTTCCTCCAGGAATTTCCTTTCTAATGCAGCTTCTCAACCTCAGCACTATTGACAGTTGGTGCTAGATAATTTGGGGGGCTGTCCTGTGTACTCTAGAATGTTGAGCAGCATCCCTGGCCTCTACCCACTAGATGCCTGCAGAATATCCTCCAGTTGTGACAACCAAAAATGTCTCCAGACACTGCCAAATGTTCCTGGGGGCAAAATCACCCCCAGATAAGAACCACTGTTCTAGTGTGATCAGAAAGACATACCATAACCAAATGAACAATGATAAGTGCTGTAAAGAAAATCAAATAAGGCAATGAATTTGTCTTGTGTTGGTCTACTTTTAATCAGAGAAAGCCTCTCTGAGGAGGTGGCATAGAGCGGAGACCGAAATGCAGAGGACTCCATGCTTGAATTTTATTGCCTCCCCCTCAAGTCACCATACACTTTCTTTTTTCTTTATTATGTTATGTTAATCACCATACATTACATCATTAGTTTTTGATGTAGTGTTCCGTGATTCATTGTTTGCATATAACACCCAGTGCTCCATGCCGTATATGCCCTCTTTAATACCCATCACCAGGCTGACCCATCCCCCCACCCCCTCCCCTCTAGAACCCTCAGTTTGTTTCTCAGAGTCCATAGTCTCTCATGGTTCGTCTCCCCCTCCGATTTCCCCCCCTTCATTTTTCCCCACCATACACTTTCTAACCCACCTCCACTCTCAGCCCTTTTGCCCAGACTCCTGCCCACTGCTGTCTTGTTTCTGCTGTGCTTTGCCTGCCAACCCCCACCCACTCCCCAGTATAGCTCCTTGCCTACCCCAACCTTTACATGCTCCTTACCAAGAATACTGTTATCCAGTGCCATAGTCTTTTACTGAAGATTTGGGCATAACACAGGAAAATTAATCCTTAGGACAAGAATGAACTTAAAATTGCTTATCAGACAAACATTTCCAAAGTTCCCTGTCTTCCCTGTTGTGAGTCCTTTATATACCATTCTCTTTCTCTCTCCCTGTCCCTCTCTTCTCTCCCCTAATCCTGACCTGACCCCATGTTCCCAGAGCTGCTGTGCCTTTCAGGAAACTTTCCTCTTACCTCTTTGCACTGAGTTCATGACCCCACCCCTACCTCTAGAGCTTCCAAGTTTCAAAATGAACATTTTAACCCAGGCACATACTTAAGGGAAATCCAGGTACCTTGTCATCCCTGGAAATCAGAAAGACTCAATGAGTTCTCTAACTTATGAGGTCTCATCTTTTTTAGGAGGAGTGTGTGTTTTTATTGAGAAGATGCTTTTTTAAAGTAGACTTTATTCTTTAGAGCAGTTTTAGATTCACAGTAAAACAGAGGAAAGTACAGAGTACCCTTTCTTCCCACACATATACAATCTCTCCCACTATCACCATCCTGCACCAGAGTAGTACGTTTGTTACAATCAGTGACCTAAATTGATACATCATTATTATCCCAAATCTGTAGTATATGTTAAGGTTCACTCTTGGTGCAATATATTCTGCGGCTTTAGTCAAATGTATAATGACATATATCCACCATTGTAGCATACAGAATAATTTCACTGCCCTAAGAACCCTTTGTGTTTTGCCTCTTCATCCCTTGTTCACCCTAATCCTTGGCAACCACAGATCTTTTTACTGTTTCCATAGTTTTGCCTTTTCCAGAATGTCATATAGTTGGAAGCAATATGTAGCCTTTTTGGATTGGCTGCTTTCACTTATAATATGCATTGAAGATTCTGCCGTATCTTTTCATGGCTTGATAGCTCATTTCTTTTAGGTGCTGAATAACAGTCCATTGTCTGGATTTGTCACAGTTTATTTATCCATTCACTTACCAAAGGAGATCTTGGTTGTTTCCAGGTTTTGGCGGTTATGAATAAAACTGCTATAAGAATTCATGTACAGATCTTTGTATGGACATAAGTTTTAATTCATTTGGGTAAATACCAAGGAATACACTGCTGGCTCATATATAGTAAGAGTATGTTTATAAGAAACTGCCAGACCATCTTCCAAACTGGCTGTACCATTTTGCATTCCTACCAGCAATGAAAATTCCTGTTGCTCCACATCCTGCTCAACATTATCAGTGTTATCAGTGTCTTGGACTTTGGCCATTCTGACAGGTGTTTAGTGGTATCTCATTGTTTTAATGAGTCTCATATTTAAACTGGGAATAATAACTCTTAATTCACAGAGTTGTTCTAAGGATTAAATGAAATAACTTGTATAAAACATGTAATACAATGCCTAGCATTCTAAGAGGAGCTTACAAAATATTAGTTTCCTTGTCTTCCCTCTCTTTGGTTAAGCCTTACAACCTATGAATTCTTTCTCACCTGGTCTATATTCTTTCCCCTGGGAAAGAATGTGTATTGGTGGTTAAGAGAACTAGGCTTTCAATTAGACTCCATTTCTAACAGTCCCAAACAAAAATCAATTTAAAAATAATAATACAAATAAATGTTCTTTTTAATAAAATTGGCCAGTAAATAAGTTAGTCATTTCCATAAATATAAAATTTAGGCTCTTAATCTTAAAATACCCCATGTTATATTTTCTCTTGTTAACACCAGTGACAACAGCTGGAGTAATTAATAAAGTAACTGTTGCTTCTGTGTGCTACCTTGTAAGGGCAGATACTGGGTCCAGGGCTGAGTTAAAGTCCTGGCTCCATCACTTACTAGCTGAGTAACTGAGCAATTATTTAACTTCCCTCAGACTCAGTTTTCTGTATAATGTAGATATAATATACCTACTTCAAAGTGTTGTTAGGATCATCAAGCAAGGTATTATAATGCCAAGTGCTTAGAAGTGTACCTGCCACATAGAACTGCTATATTAGTATTAGCATTTTTTGTTATCCTACCTGAAAACAACAGTGAAGACCCAATATATTACATACTCCTATACTCCTACCCACCTCTACCACCATGCTCAAATAAAGAATATTCTTGCATTGAGGCTAATCTCACTATTTGTCTTGAGTTCAAAAGGTATGATTAAATAAAACTTACTTTGATGATCTCAACAGCCATACTTGTTCAATGGGCATTCAATGAGTAGTTTAAAACAAAAAGAGGGGCACCTGGGTGGCTCAGTTGGTTAAGCGTCCAACTCTTGATTTTAGCTCAGGGCAATGATCTCAGGGTTGTGAGGTCGAGCCCAACATCAAGCTCTGTGCTGAACGTGGAACCTGCTTAAAAAGTTGTATTTGTTTCTGCTTGTCACTTAATAATGCTCATTTGTTAAAAATGTAGATTAGATCACTATCAATATAGATAATTGCTCTTAGCATTTGGCATCCTGCCACCTTCTAGATCTTTATATAAGCATGAACACAGTCACAGGCACACACACATTTTTTAAAGAAACACCTAACAGAACACATAAAAATTAATGGAATTAACCTATGTATGCTATATTATTACCTGATTTTTTAAATTAAATTGAACAAATCATAGGTATATTCTTGGTCAAAAGTACAGTATATCATTTTAATATAGTATTTCACTATTTGAATGTAGCATAGTTTTTTTTTTCATTGAAGTATAGTCGACATCTAATGTTCTATTAGGTTCAGGTATACAACAGTGTTTTGACAATTCTACATATTATGTGATGCTCGTGCTCCTCAGGATAAGTGTAACTAGCATCTGTCATAAAGTTATTAAACAATTTAAATAAATTTTATTGTTGAGGAAATATAGTCTTTCCAGTTTCTCAATATTATAAACAATAACTCATGCTTAGTGTGTTGATAATTGTATTAAGAAGAAAATATTTTAAAATCCAGGTAGATACAAACATAATTATCTTACCTAAGTTTTTAATATTTTTGGAATATTCTATTTTAAAGTTTTGTTGATGCAGTGGTAAACGGTGGCAGCAGCAGCAACACCAAGTCAGATGTGACTCTGTTAGAGAGTAATTTGGGCTCTATGTCTATCGTGTTCCTGGATGATCTACCTGATAAGCCTAGAA